CCCCCCCCCCCAAAAAAAAAAAAAAGCTTCTGGGCTCTCTTCTCCCATCGCTTATCTTTGGCGTGCATGGCACCATTTCTCCTTCCTCCACTTTATTCATGTTAGAATCATTAGATCCATGAGCTCTAAAAAAAAACAAAAAAAAAAACAAAGAGTTTTTGGGAGGGTTCCTGCCACTCCCTTTACTCTCTCTCTCTGGATCCCCTTCCTCTTTTCTTTTTTCCAAATCCCCTTTCGTCCATCAAACCACCAGTGCATCAGGGCCACTTTCTTCCGGGGCTCCAAACACCCTGCGCGCCAAGCTTTGTTGAACAGCCAGCGGCGCAGCGCAAGATGTTTTTTTTTTTGCCTGGCACTTCCAGCCATTGTGGGGTCCAGTAGCCCCGAAGCCCAGTTAGCGCGGCGTGTTAACATAAAGGGCCCTCAGCCAATGTATGGACCGAGTATTGGTGGTTCAAGAACGTCCCTCCCAAGCTGTTGATGTCCATGTCAGTTTTTTTTTTTTTTTTTTTAAGCTATATTCTTCTCTCAATTTCACCTCACACTACCTACCTATCACTACTCCTAATTGTAGGCATACGGGGAACCCCGTAGCAGCCAGAACCGTGTTCACGAGAGAACATGCGGGGGCTGCTCCCGACCTGCAGGTGGACGATACCGGCTAGGAGACAGCCGGTTGCATCAGGGACCATGCCAACAGGACCAATCCCTGTGCCTCCCCTCAGGTGGTGGTCCCCACCCCTATGACCATCAGCAGACTCTGCTCAATGCCGATCGGGGGATCCAGTGGTCTATCTCTAGGTGGCGGGCGCCAAGCATGCCCAGGAAGGTACATGAGCCCAGTGGGGATTGAACCCACAATCTCCTGAATGCCACTTGCGAGCCTTACCAAAGGCCGCTGGATCAAGTCAGTTTGCCCTCCTTCCTCTCACTGAAAAAAAAAAAAAAAAAAAAAACGAGGAGTAGGGGGGCATGTCCTAGCCACCCAGAGTGGCAGGATGGGGGTGTGAAGGGGAGGGGTGAGGCTGCAGGAATTGTTTCAGTTGTTAACGCCTCGTCATTTTCACGTACTATGACAATACATATCGTTATTTATCGATCCATAGGGGCGACTCCGATGTGGGTTTCTCTAGGCATAGGTTCATGAAGAACCATTGAGCCAGCATGTTCAATTTATGTGCTGGTTGTCGCTGCGGGGGAGGGGCGTTTTGCGGTGTGTAGACTACTAGACTGCCATTTTACATTTTCCTTGGATGCGAAACTTGAGCCTCGACAGACCTGCCATACACGAATATGTCGCATCTCTGCCCCAGAGAGTCCTTCCCTCTTCAAAATAGAATACCATAACCAATTCTCTCTCTCTCTCTCTCTCTCTCTCTCTCTCTCTCTCTCTCTCTCTCTCTCTCTCTCTCTC